AGAGGGAGGATGCTCTCCTCCAGGCGGGAGGAGCGATCAGGAGTCACCCAGAAATAGGCCAGCACATTTGGTTCTGGCCGCTGAGCAGGTCCGCTTAGAAAATATGGGCCTCTCACAAGATGTGGTGCACACAATCCAAGACTCACGAGCTGCTTCCACCACAGCGCTGTACACATCAAAGTGGACATCTTTTCAACGCTGGTGCATGGCGAAAGGTGTAGAGGCCATCTCATGTCCACTAGGTGGTGTGCTGTACTTTCTGCAGCAGTTGATGGACAGAAATCTAGCATTCAGCACAATTAAGACTTATGCTACAGATATTTCTTCTTGTCACGAGGGCTTTGGTGACAGCAAGTTTTTAATCACCCGCTGATGAAGCGTTTCCTGAAAGGTGTACTGAGACACAGACTGGTGTCACGCCCACTAGTTCCACAGTGGGACTTAATGTTGGTTCTGTGCAGTCTGATCAAAGCTCATTTTGAGCCTTTAGATCAGGTTTCACTTAAATTCCTGTCACTTAAAACAGCCCTGCTGTTGGCTTTGACATCAGCAAACAGAGTGAGCGATTTATGTAATAAACATAAACATATATAAACATGAAATGTTTTTTGGTGCAAGCGGATGCTTCATATTGTGTCTGAATGAACCCAGTGAGGCATAGACTACATCCTGCTTCACCTTTAACCCACTAGTGATAGCCTTAAAGGTATACGAAATAGAACGTTGGTTAAATACTGTAACCCCAGATTCTATGAGTATAGGCACAGTCCTTTAAGCTCTGGGCCGCACTGGTTCCTAAACGGCTGAAGAAAAAAGCTATTTGGGAGCCGATTACCCGGTCTCACCATAATTTATATGGACCGGGGGTGAGGCTCACACAGCAGGTGGGCGTGGACTAAAGTTTTATCAGTGCTGCGCTGCGCGCTGTTTTGCTTACCCGAGTGAGGTAGACACAGGACACGTGCCACGCCCTCACTGCAGCCTTCTCCTCCAACGGGTCTCAAAACTAATCCTATGGCTCAGGTGTTACCCGCAGCTGTTTCCTAGGACAGTTTTAGTCGAAGGCTGTGTTGAGATGATTCACCCAGACTGTTAACTACCTACGATCCTTGCACCACACCCAAAGTCTCACCTCGTGCCTCGCCCAACCTAGCAGCAGGAGTGGGGACATTTGGCAGACGAGGAAGTGCAAGTTAACGGTAGCTAATCTCCTGATTTAGCGTTACAATTGTTATCCGATCTGGCTTTGTTTAGAATCTAGGTATAAGATTCTTGGATGCTGTTTTATAATCAAAGCTACGAAACCTTTTAAAACCTCCCGTGATTTTGTTGTTACATTGAACCTAGTTTTTCCACTTCCATGAACAAAGGGGTGTTGAAATAAGAATCCAGAATTTCACGTTTTGCTTTGCTTTTTAATCAATGATTTTGCAGGGGAAACAGCGATATGCACAGTCCAACAATGATTACATTTGATTACAAAGAGGATACATAATGATTTATACTCAGAGTTTAGTTATATTACAGATGTTGATCCTTCTTGGGCAAAGCAGTTCTCTATTCCTGGGGGGGGGGGGGGGGGAGCTGGCGAATGACTGTAGGTTTGCTCCGTTCAGCCTCAGTTATTTTCCTTCTGGCAGGCTGCACTCTGTGAGTTCTTCGGTCGTCCTGACTCACTCAAGCACTCCAAAACCTCCACAATTTACCCACACTATCTACCTGCCCCAATACATTATCTCTCGCCACAATGACAAATATTTCACAACTCCAAGCAATCAAATTTAAGATGTAATTGATCTTTCTGCCTGCCAATTTGTAGGCTACCACTCTAATTTGAAATAAATTTTTATTAAGGACAATATTGGTGAAACGTCTCCTTACCATCGCTGTTTTTGTGGAATTCCTCGAAATTCCAGCTCAGCAAGAAGCAAATTTCCCCATTCACACTTGAATGCGGACCGTTTCTGGTCCTACAGCTGGTCTGAATTTGAAGAAAAGGGTTCGAGCATATAATCCGGGCTGAGGAAGAAAATGACTCCAAACGAAGCATAGTCCATTGGATTTGCCCCAGTTCTTCAGCTGGAACCGTCCAAATACTTGTCCTATAATCCACACGATCCGGTGGTCCAACAGCCCCGGTTTCACAGAATCATCTGTATTTATAGGGTGATGTTTTGACTGACAGTTCCAAAAGATCATGCCACCTGCCTTAATCCAACCTTCTTTGGGTTGGACCTGGCTCAGGTTCCATGCATGTCTATGGGAATTGCCACATCACTCCTTATACATATTAAAATCTGGGTGTAACTCATTTCGGTCCGGTTCTGTCCGGACATGCCTGAGTCACTCTGAGTTGTTTTTCTCTCTTGTTTTCCTTATTAGGAGTTGTTTTTTGCTTGGAACTGTTTTCAAGGTTTGCCATTGCGAATCACTCTCTGCTTGTATAACTCTTTACTCACATAATGCTTCTGAAAACATTTTCTGAGAACAAAGTTTTCTTCCTTCTTAAATTCTTCAACATTATGAACAAACTTAACAGAATACATTTAAAACTCACAAAGATTATAGTATCACTTGATTATTTACTTGTTTTTGGTTGTAATAAACAAAACATGTCTTTATTTTAAAATATAACAGTCTCAGCTGAGGGAAATGTGCTCCATCCCTCACTTTTTCTTCTCCCCACATTTTCCCACTTGCGTGTGTGTATGTTTGAGTGCGTACGTACATGTGTATGTTTGGTGTATGAGTGTGTGCGTGCATGTGTGCGTTTATGTAGTGTGTGAGTGAGTGAGTGCATGTGTCTTTGTGTGTGTGTATATGCATGTGTGTTTGTGTAGTGTGTGAGAGTGTAAGTGTGTGTGCTTCTCCAGCATCTGTCTCTTATTATCTCAGCCTGGAAACTTTGGGGCTTTTCCACACAGGCCCAAAACAAAACATGTTGGGACAAGTCAGACTGATTCCATCGCAGCGGGCCTCCATTGACAGCGCGAAGGGATAAACCCACTAGCGTTAGCCTTAAAGGGCTGTGCCTATACTCATAGAATCTGGGGTTACATTATGTAACCAACGTTTTCCCTGTGCTTGTTGTGATTGCAGTATTTCTGCTTGACAAACTAGACAAGTTTACTGGTACCTCAGAATAGACTGCAAAAACACCTTACCTGTCATTTTCCTGGTTATCTGGTTGACAGTTTGTGTCCACATGATTGGTGTTCCTGAACGTACTGACAGCAACAATACTAGCATCTTTTTAAAAAGTTCAAGTACTATATTTTCAACTTGAATGTGATGGGAAAGATTATTAAAAACCTAGAACATCTGGAAAAAAACACATTTTCTCTTGGCATCTGCATGTTCTCTTTACTTCTTAGAATTAAGTGAAACACTGAGGCAAAGAAAAAACATATAGCAACTATAATATCAACCCAGTGATTAAACAATTTAAACAGAATGTTTCCAAACCTCTAGAATAGAAACTGCAACACTGAACCACAGCCCAACCTCCTTAAACTTGAGGTCTGTATAAAGCTTTTCAGAATTAAAAATGAATAATTCAGGATCTTTAGCATTTTATTTTAGCTTACATTTAAAAATGATTGGACACATACCTTAAAACATGACATAAAATGTAATATCGTTCAGTCATTTGTAAAGGAAAAATTATATTTATGAAAACGAAAATACACGTGTTCCATTTGTGTTCATTTCAGTGATGGGATTTGTTTATTGTCATCTCCTGTTTGGAGTGTGGGGAAAATGTAAGAAATTAGATGCAGGTTATTTTAAATTAACTACAAAATTTTCAATGGTGAACATAATTCAGTAGTTCCAAAACTTTTTGACTAAAATAAATGTTTTTTCAAGTTTGTGTATCAACCTGAGAGAGGTACAATGATATTGGGGCTGTGTGTCATCTGCTGACCAATAAAAGCTTTATAATAATAATAAAGTGCTATGTGTTGTCATCATTGTATGTTCCCATACAAAGACAAAATTGGCTTTCTGCATTTAACCCATAACATCTGGGATACACCCAGGTGGAGCAAGGGGCAGCTATGTAAGTGCCTGGGGAGCCATTTGGGATTAGGTGTTCTGCTCAGAGACATCACGAGATGTGCAATGACCGGGGATCGAACCCAGGACCTCCGGGTACCAAGTCAGCTGCCCTGCCCCTACACCATCTGGAGAATTGTCAGTGGTGACCAAAAAAACAAGACTGGCAAGCAGGTAAGAACAAAATTTACATTTCTGCTTTAACTTTGAGGGTTTTTTGTGTGAGGAGCTTATCCCCAAACTCAAAAACGTACGGCTCTAAGACCATCAGCACACATCTACACTAAATCCCACAGAGCAAGAATCAGACTGGTTTCATATTTACCGTGGCTCCATGAGTAAAGGTCAACACATTAGTGTTGAGGTATGCCTCTTCAAAGGTAAGATGTTCATAAAACAGTAAAGCTAATGAATCATTCTGTGTGGATGCAGTCAAAGCTCATGAATACAAATGGTCATCGTCTGGTTAATTCGCCATTTAGGGATCAGGCTGGAAAGGATGTGCAACTGGTTTGGCTTGTTAACAATATAGTGATGTTCTAACAAGTGAGGCGAGTGACCAATGAAAATTGAGTTTTCAAATTGGCACTTTTGTAAACATAACTAACTTGTTGACAGGCCAGGTAAATTTAAAAAAACTTAGACAACAAACATGATTTTAAAGCTTTTAAAATAAGATAATTTGGAGATAAAAATAACTTGTTTAAAAATTATTTAATGTGACGTGCTTTGCCAGCCCATGTAACATATTTTGTTTTACAGATAAACAGCTCAAAAGAAACATTAAAATGAAAGTACCAAAATTAGAAAGTTAAGGTGAATAAGTAAAAAATTAAAAAGTCCAATCTGATTGAAAACAATCCTTTTTTTAATTTACTATTATTATTGTACTGATGACAAGTTCAGCTCTAATGATTGTTATGTGAATGTTTGGTTTGCATTACCTGTGACAAGGTTGTCCACTAGTGTTGTAGGGATGCAAAAGATCCCCACCAGTAGGTCACTGATTGCCAGGTTGAGAATGAAGAGGTTGGTGACTGTGCGCATACAACGGTTTTCCAGCACGATCAGACACACAAGGATGTTACCCACCATGCACAACAGGAAGATGAAGGCGTAAGCAATGATGTAGCTGGCTGCTACATACAGTGAGTGTTGATAATATGGAAAAAAGGTGATGTTGGTGGCATTAACTGAGCCATTCTGGATGGTGTTTAAAAAAGTTGCAATGATTGCTGATCCCTCTGACTCCATTCCTTCCTCTCCCATAAAGTCCAGAATTTCCATCCTCTTTACATAGACCAGCCAACTCTGGAAGGGAAACCAAAAAGAGGAATATTGACAAATCAGTTTGGAGCAAGTACAAACAAACAAAATAAAATCTGGCTTTTGCAACCACAGCACTTCGATAACTTGGCTCTCTGACTCTTAAAATGTTGTTTAAAAGGGTGATACCATTGGATAAAAATATCTGCTATTTGTCTTATTTTCTCAAAGAAGCCACACTTGATGACATGAGAAGATTTTTAACCGGTTTTAATTGCAAGCGCAGATTTTCATAAAAAGTTACACAGATGTACAGAAATATACGCATGGAGCCCAGTCATGAGAATCGAACACTGACAGTGTGCAAGGTTTGTTTTTATGTGCTTGTCAGTTCCCGGCTCATAGACAGACTGATGTCCTTGGACTGCCAGCTGTGCATGCAGGATCAAATCAGCTCCTCAATCAGCTCTCTCTGAGAGGAAATAAATCTCTGCTAACTCAAACACATGGTTCAGGGGCAGTTAATATTCTCAGTCATAGTAGTTAAAACATCCATAAACCTTAACCAAAATTCCCTAACAGATATAATGCAGTGCTATGTGTCTTGATCCAATGGACTGATGGCTATCCAATTACTGGGATGCCCACAGTTTTCAGTGGCAAGTTTTCAAATTCCTCCTGGCATCAGTACAGCACAACTGCCCTAAATAAAATAAATAAATATTTAATTTTTGGTTTAGGTAAATGATCAGTTATGCTAATTGATGCTAAATACTGTATGCTTTATTTTATTAAAAAATGTCCAAAAGTGGTGGGATTCTGTTCATTAAATATTTGAATCAATGGTGCTTATATCAATAACCCTACAAAGCTAACCTCCTGCATATAACATGTTATAGTTTTATTCAGAGTTGCATTGAGATGAGCTTTTGAAGGTCTTCCAGGGCCAAAGACAAAGTCTGCTAGAACATGCATTTCAAAGTCACTGCAGGTGGAAGAGAGTTGCCAAAGATTTAACCTTCAAGATTCTAAGTTGCTAAGCTAACTTTAACCACAGTGATGGATTGACTAGATCAGTGTCATAAAAGCTGTTCAGGCACATTGAATTTATTCACTGCTTCACTTTGGCATCAAACAAGCATATTTTTTTTTAACAATGAAATCACGTTTTCTCAACCAGAGCATGACATTGTTGCACAATCATTGAAAGAGGCTGTGCACAACCTGTGCAACATTGAGGTTCTTTGAGAATTTATGTCAAATAAATTATTTGGAATTTATGTATTTGGTCTCAGACAAAGTCTGAGCCTCTTTGTCGATAAAACTCTAAAAGATGGATTGTTTTTGTCCCCCATTGTAGAACAAAGAGTGGGGATTGCAAATCCAAAATCCAAGATAGCTGCTACCATAAATGTCCGTCCATCTTGCGAGCTGGATAATGTTAGTCATGTTCAAATTGTCTGAATCAGGCTCCTCTGAAACAATCTATTTCTCAGATTAAGTTTATTTTATACTGTGATGATTTTTGCTCTTGAAACCCATTTGCATGCAGACCACAGGAACTCAGAGGAATATAAATAAATAAAAAAAATGTTAAATAAACAAAAGAGGCTGACGAGGCAGCAAAACTTACAGTGGTAAGAGACATGTAGGAAACACAAAAATCATGAACCATCACCATTCAAACAAAAATGCCCAGACAACAGGGAACACAAGGACTAAGATTTAAATACAGAACACTAACAAGGGCTAAACAGAAAAAGCTGCGAAGGAACAAACAGGTGGCAGAGGGGTCACTAATTATAAGGAGACAGCAGGAGAGTAGGAATTAAGTCCATATATCTTCTCTTTGGTATTCCTCTTTGTCATTTTCCTGGCAGCTGCATTTCTAACATCCTTCTACCAATATACTCACTGTCCCTCCTCTGGACATGTTCATACCATCTCAGTCTGGCCTCTCTAACTTTATCTCTCAGTTATTCAAGCTGTGCTGTGCCTCTGATGATCTCATTCCTGATCTTATACATCCTTGTGACTCCTAAAGAGAACCTCAACATGGAGATTGTGGAGGCTGCAGCTGTCATGGGGACCAAGGAGGATACAGCTGTCATGAAGGTCACAGAGGCTGCAACTGTCGTGGAGGTCTTGGAGGATCCAGTTGTCATGGAGACCTTGTAGGCTGCAGTTGTCCTGGAGATCGTGGAGGCTGCAGTTGTCATGGAGGCTGCAGCTGTCATGAAGACCGTGGAGGCTACAGCTGTCATGGAGACCATGGAGGCTGCAGCTGTTTTGGAGGCCGTGGAGGTTGCAGCTGTTGTTGATACTTTGAGGGCTGCAGCAGTCATCAAGGCCACATTGGCTGCCTCAAGGACTGCAGGAGGGGTCACAGTCGCATCATGAGCTACAGCAGTGGATGTAGCCCCAACAGGAACAGCAGCAGGGTGTGTAGCTACTTCTGGAGGCAGTGTGGAACCCTTGGGGTTCATGGAGACCTATGTAGACATCAAGGCCTTTGTAGATGTCGAGACCTCTGTAGCCGTCAAGACCTTGGTATACGTGTCTGTCAAGGAGACTTCAGGGACTGCAGCTGGTGGCATAGCCACTTTAGGGACCGTAGCTAGGAGCGTAGCCACTTCAGAGACTGCAGCTGGGGGTGTAGCCACTTTAGCTTCTGCAACTGTGGGCATAGCCACTTTAGGGACTGTAGATGAGAGCATAGCCACTTCAGGGGCTGCAGTAAGTGTAGGGACCTCGTTGGCTGCAGTAAGCATAACCATTCTTGGAGGCATGGAACCCTCCCTCGGAAGTGTGGAACCCTTTCTTGGAGGTGTGGTACCCTCTCTTGGAGGTGTGGAACCCACTCTTGGAGGCGTGGAAGACTCAGAAGTCATGAAAGACTCAGGAAGAAGATGTGAGGACCTCTGGATAAGATGTGGGGACCTCTGGAGAAGGTGTGATGACCTCTGGAGAAGATGTGAGGACCTCTGAAGAAGATGTGAGGACCACTGGTGAAGGCATGATGACCTCTGGAGAAGGTGTGAGAACCTTCTGCTGAAGAAGACATGAGGATCTCTGGTGAAGAAGGTGTGAGGACCTCTGGGAAAGAGGGCATAAGGATCTCTGGTGAAGAGGGTGTGAGGACCTCTGGTAAAGAAGGCATAAGGAAGGGTTGGAACCCACAGGAGACTTGGGACCTGCAGATGATTTGGACCTGCAGAAGACACTCTGGAGACTTGGGAAAATCTGGAGACTTGGAACTCTCTAGAGACTTGGAGCTTTCTGTAGACCTGGAACTCTCTGGAGACCTGGGGCGTTCTGGAGACCTGGAGCTTTCTGTATACCTGGAGCTCTCTGGAGACATGGAGCTATCTAGAGACGTGGAGCTCTCTGTAGACCTGGGTGATGAGAGAAGGTAAGAGGTGCCCTCCAGATTCCTCCTGAGGACACAGGGATATGAGTTCAGCTGCTTATTCGGCTGGACCACATTCAGCTACTTTGCAGATAAGCGGGGGCTCAACTGCCCCTCCCTCTGCAAAATTCTCCCCAGCACTTCTGACTGTGTGTGGGATGACCGGCGCAGCATGTCCAGAATCCGTAGCTCTTCCGTCACCATATTAAAAAGTTCCCTCATCCCATGGGAGTTGGTCAGACCTGGGAGTCGAAGGAACTCGTCCAAAAAGTAATTTGTTGTGACCCACCTAATCCACAGGTCGCTGGAGGTGGCAATAGTGTCATTGATACTCTGTGTCACTCTGCAGAGCCGCTGCTCATCCTTGGGGCTAGAGCAGCCAAGAACGGGCAGCTGGCTGGGTTTTTCTTGGGTCTGGGCATTCTATGACGATTTTTGCTCTTGAAACCCATTTACAGGCAGACCACAAGAACTTGGAGGAACATAAATTAAAAAAGAAATGTATTAAACAAACAAAAGAGCCCGACAAGGCAGCAAAACTTACTCGGGTAAGAGACATGTAGGAAACACAGTAATCAGGAACCATCACCATGCAAACAATAATGACCAGACAACGGGGAACACAAGGACTCAGACTTAAATACAGAACACTAACGATGATGAAACAGAAACAGCTGTGAAGGAACAAACAGGTAGCAGAGAGGTAACTGATGTTAAGGAAACAGCAGGAGAGTAGGAATTAAGAGCCACCACAAGAGGGAGCTAGACACCAGGTAACACAATCAGGGATGGAAATTGGCACCCGCCACTGACCAAATGCGAGAAAATGTTTGCAGTGGCATGTAAATTTGAACAACGCACTAGCCACGGTGGCAGGTTTGCAATTTGAAAAGAAAAAATAATTTGTTCAATTCTATTTTGTATAGGCTTCGCCCTTTAAGACTGTCGCTAGTGGGTTTATCCCTAGGCGTGCAGAGCAGCACTGAAAACTTTAGTCCACACCCACCTGATGTGTGGGCCTTACCCCCAGTCCGTATAAATTACGGTGAGACCGGGTAATCGGCTTCCATTTTTTCTTCAGCCAGTTAGCTAGCACTGTCAGAAGAACGAAGAAGGAAAATTTGTCCAGCTCTGACCGGCACAACCTTTGCTGAGGATGCCTGGGTCTCCGCCACACCAATCTCCTGCCGTCCTGGTGAGCTCTTCAGCCCTGAGGAGAAGCAGACGAGCAGCATTGTTCAAGGTAAGCTCCGAGGAGTGCTTATTCGTGGCGGGCTGCTACCCGCTGGACGATGCCGTCACCGTTTTTAACGTTTTTTTCCCCATGATAATCGAATGATTTCCTTGAATAAGGCGATGTTAGCAGCAGCCCTGCTTACTGTTTTTCCGTGGAGGGCCGCTACCCGCTGGACGATGCCACCGTCTTTTCTAACGTGTTTTTTTCTCGAGGTGAATCGGATGATTCCCTCAAAAAAGGCTTTGTTGGCAGCAGCTCCGCTGAGTGTTTTTTTCTGTGGCGGGAAGCTATGCGCGGGACGACGCCACCGTCTTCTTTGACGCAGAGTCACGCAGTGAATCGAATGATTCCTCAGAGAAAGGCGATGTGGAGCTG